TGTTGCATTGATTTTAATAAAAGGTCGCGACACAAAACAAACCCCCAATACAAAATATACTCACGGCTCACGGGCTTGGAAAACGTTCCAAAATGTTTTGAAATCGTGCTTTGAAACGAAGTGACCTCCACGGGCGTTTTACAAAATGACTTCCCCAGAGGTACAGCGCACAATTGTAGGCCTACAACACAGGGGTTTCCACACAGACTAACTCAGTAAACTGACACAGCGACGAAGTATCCACGAGATTTTCCAAACCGAAGGCTGTTTTGCCTCTCTTGCCAAGAAATCACGGTAATCACCCCATTTTAAAAGCTTGATAAACAGTAATCCTCTCTTTAACCAATAAGATTAAAGTATTCAGGGAATTCCCCGTCATAATCTCTTTTCCCGCGCTTCTGTGCATGACGTTGTTGGCCTGCAGGCTGTCCTGTGACGCAATATGACGCCAAGCAGCCCATGTGAGGTGTGGAGTGACCACGGGCCAGGAGGAAAACAAAGAATTTACGAAACCACGGGGAGCTGCTGTATAAACAACACCCAGCGCGTGACTCTGACTGGACATCGTAAACAAAACATCAGCTCTGGGTTTTGTTTGTTTTTATTTGGTCGCTTTTAAGGACAAGTCGGCTATCCCGAAAAATGCTATTTTTGAGAAAATCGAAGGTAAAGTTTTTGCCCCTTGTTCATTTTCATTAAAAGACAAGGAGAGGTTTCTCTACAACTATAACCAAACAAATATACACACCAATGAAACCAAACTTCTCCTATAGGTAGGGCAATGCCCATTTTTTGTGTATGTCAATATTTCTGGAAACCCCTGAAATCTGGGTTAGCCCGCTAGTCCTTATACGCGACCATTTTGTTTCAGATAAACTCATTCTGCAACAATATTCGAATTCGTCAAAAAAAAAGCTCGAAACAACCCCCCCCCCAAAAACAAAACAAAACAACAACAACAACAACAACCCAACAACAACCAAACAACCAAACAAACAACAACAAACAAAGCAAAACAACAACAAACAAGAACAAAACAGAAACAAAACAACAG